CCCCAGCCTGGAGATGGGGAGGGGGCGGTCACCACCACCAGGAGATTGGGGGTGACAGAGGCCAGCCTGGAGGCCAAGGGGAAAAACTAGAGCCCACACACTGGGTCATCAGACCTGGAGCTTCTGTGAGGGTCCTGATGAGCCCCAACCCGCACCCCAGGGGAGGCCGCCTGGGTGCTTGTGAGGCATAGCTGAGGGGGGGACCTGCCTGCTGCACGGGACACACTCATGGACTGGCGTCCACACCCATCTCCCTGGGGGCTGGCTGGTCAGTTGGCTGAGGACGCAGAGAGGGTGCTAGCCCACCATCTCACGGGGTCCATGGTCTGGTGCCTGCCCTGCTGTGATGGAGCAGACGAGGCACCCGCCTTCCCCATCTGAGGGTGGAGGGGCTGCCCCAGGATCATGGACGGAAACTCGAGCTGGGAAGCCCAGACGTGGAGCTGAGCCCTTCGTGTGGTGGGGCAGGCTGAACTCCCAGCCGGGCCCGAGATTTAACACGCGGTTCTTATTCCTCCAGGCAATTTAGAAACTGTTCCGAAACAGCTTGCCTCTGAGAGATTTTTAATGATTTCTTCCTCGCTCCTTCCTAGTAGGTTCTGTGAGTCACTGGTGGCCAGCCCAGGCTTCTCCCTAGAGCCTTGCTCAGCGGGGCTGCCGTGTGAGAATGGCACCCTCCTCCCCGGCATGGGACACAGCTGCCCTGGTCCAGGGTCAGAGAAGCGAATTAATTACAGCAAGGGATGCGCTAGGGCATTAGTGGCGACAGACCCCCCTGAGCACAGCCATCATCATCATCATCGACACGATTATCATTAGAGTCGTTTCCACCACGTTTCTTAAACAGCACCCGGGGGTCCCACGAGTGGCCAGCCAGCCTTCAATTCAGGAAGCATGTCATGCCCCTGGAGAAAGCCAGGCCTCAGCTCTGCCCTGCTGTCTCCCTCCAGCACTGTGGGGAGGTTGGGGTGTGATGGGAGGTTTGGTGCCCTCAGACCTGGACCTGAGGTGCTGGAGCCACAGGGAGAAGGAAACAGCTGCTTGTGGGGCACAGACAATCTTTAATGTGGCGGGCAGTTACTGTGGGCGCCAGGCACTGGGGTAGTGTGACCAACTGTCCCAGTTTGCTGGCACTGAGGGCGTCCTGGGATGCGGGACTTTGAGTACTAAAACCTGGAGCATCCCAGCAGACCGACAGTTGGTCACCCTGGGGACAGCAGGGAGCAAGACAGGTGGATCCCGCCCCTCTAGAGGGTGCCCCCTTCTCCCTGGGAATGCCGGCAAGGGAGCAAGTGGTCACATTGTGAGTGAGAGCCAGCCCCCGGGGCCGTGAGGGCAGCCTCACCCCAGAGCAGGGCAGGAACCTTGGCTGGGTCCTCTGTCCCCTCCCTGGGCCTCACCCTACCCACCCACCCCCCAGCCTGTGGAGCCGGGATCAGTGTCCCAGTTTTGCAGACGTGGTGAAGGGGACTCAGGTTGCAAAGGGCCTCCCCCAGGATGAAGAGTCGGGGCAAAGCTGAGACCCCAGCCTAGCCTCCTGTTGAGCCAGGGGCTGGCTCCGTCCACGCCCCCTGCCACCCTGGCCTGACCTTGAGACCACAAGTACCCCCTCCTTCTAGAGAGAGTGCCAAGGAAAGATTCTCACCAGGAGCTGTGTTCACGGTCTCGTCTCCCCCTTCGCATTGCCCTGGAGGGCCAGGCAGAGCTGGGGGCCAGGGAAGGGTTAAAAAGGGCACTGCCAGGCAGGCTGGGGGCAGCTCTGCAGAAGAGCCAGAGGCCAGTCCTCAGCTGCCCTAGCAGCCGTGCAATTCTCTACAAGGGAAAAAAGAACAGAGACGTAATGAGCCAGCTACCCTTCACTGATTTGCACATAATCATATCTTTCCCTTAATGGAACCAGCAGCCGTGGCGCCCTGACACCTGCTCTCTCCGTTCTCCCATTTGATTCGAGAGGTTCAGACTACGCCTGGCTGGGTTCACTGTTCAGCAAACATTACTGAGGCCCACCTGAGCGGGGAGAGGGACTTCAGACTGACTGGCACTGTCATCATCCCCACTTCTCAGACAGGAAACAGAGCCCCCAGACGGAAGCCACCGTCCTGCCAGCTCTGGACCTCAAGAAGCAAGTCCCTCAGATGTTTGCCGTTTGCTGGGATGGGGGCAGGGATGATGCTGGGATGAGGACCCTCTAGAGAGACGTTTCCAGAACCAGAACTCACACCTCTCACACACTGTGGCCCACAGGGCCGTGCAGCACACGGTTATGTTATCTCATTACACTGTTAGTGGTGGTATCAGCTCCATTTTACAGAAGAGGAAGCTGAGGCTCAGGAGAGTGGTGATGTGCCTCAGGTCACACAAATAGAAAAGGCCAGGCTTAGGTCCCTCAAATCCCTGCTTTTACTGCATCCTCCGCTTTGGGATGTGCAAGGACACCTGAGCTGAGTTTCAGCTCCTGTGCAAAACAGAGCAGCCAGGAGGAACAAGAGCCAGTCTCTGTGCCCACCTGCTGTGTGTCAGGCACCCTGGGAAGTGCTTTATGTGTGTGGCGGATAAGCGGGTGGAGACCCGGCACCCTCAAGGTCATCCCAGCCTGGCCAGACTTGGCTCAGGTGTCCTTGCACATCCCAAAGTGTAGGATGCAGTAAAAGCAGGGATTTGAGGGCAAATCTTGGCCTTAAAAACATATGTTGGGAAAGAGAAAGGTGTCCTCTCCTCCAGGAAGCCCACTCTGATGCCATCCTATATCTACATTGAGTGAAGGGCCTCTCCTCTGGGCCCCATAGGAGGCACCCCTCCACACACACCTTTACTCTGTCACTGCAGCGTCAGCATGGCTGGACTCTTGCTTACCTCTCTTTGTTTCACTGGATCGTGAACTGTCTCAACATTAGGACTTGTGCATCTCTGTGCTTCTCATCACCTTGGCCACAGGTGCTAGCAGGGGTTGAGGGGCATGGCGGTGAATGTTGGAATGAATGATTGCCAGCCAGTGATCTCTGCAGCCTCTCCCAGCTCCCACACAACCCTCCCCAGTGGAGGCTCTGCCCCTAGATGGGGTGGGAGCTGGTCTGGCCAGATGTGCACCGGGGTGGGGTTGGAGCATGGGGTGGCTTCTCCACCTGGGGAAGGTAGGGACAGCACAAGGCGCAGGCCCTGGAGCCTTCCTGGAGGGCAGTCTGCCCTGGTATCAGCCACTCTCAGAAATCTTTTTACTTTTGTCCCAATAATTCCATTCCTGAGAGGGTATCCTAGGAATCCAGACAGAGCTCGATATAAAAAGTGTACATCAGAGGTATTTATATACTGAAAAAGTGGACACAATCTAAGAAGGGTTGAGTCAATAAATTATAATTTATTCCTTTAATGGAAACTTCTGCAGACTTTGAAAACGTCCTCACAAAAACGTCCACACGTAGGACATGCGTATGTTCTCAGGGTCCCAGAGAGCAGAACGCAAAACCATGCGTCAGCTCCCACAGCCACATTAGTAAATAAAGATGGAGAAAGATGAGGAAATATTTGCCATAATGCTAAGAGTGGTTGCTGGGGGAGGGGGCTAGAATTATGTAGGATTTTTTAAAAAATTATTTTTACTTCTATAAACTTTCCAAATTTTTTTATAATGTGTTGTAACAGTTTATGGCTTTAAAGAAACAAAATGTCGGGAGAGGCTTGACCTCAGAAGGCTTCCCCGGAAAAGTGGGCTTGGTGGGGAACTTGGCGGGTGGTCCTCTGACCTGCAGCTACCCCCCAGCCCACCCCCTAGCTTCCCGCAGAGCCCAGGGCGCTGGGTGCTCTTGCCCCCGGCCTCTCCCCGTCTCTCGTTCCCAATATGTTCTCTCTCTGCACACGACACTCTCACACACACTCAGCCCAGCCCTGGATTTGCTCCGGCAGCGTCAGCTGAAGAGATGCACACTGACCACGTCCGCGTCCAGGGCTGCCGTAACAAATGACCACAGACGGGGACCCTTAAGACAACAGGAATTTACTCTCTCGGTTCTGAAGGCCAGAAGTCCAAGTTCAAGGTGTCGGCAGGGCTGTGCTCCCTCCGGAGGCGCTGGGGGAGGATCCTTCCTGCCTCTTCCAGCTTCCTGGGCTGTGTCTGCGTCGCTCCAACCCTGCCTCTATCTTCACGTGGGCTCTCCTCTGAGTCTGTTTTCTCCTCTTCTGCCTCTTTCAAGGACATTCGTCACTCCCAAATCCGAGGCTGTGCCTCCCACCCGTGCCTCCAAGCAGGTCCCCAGACCCCCCCCCCCCCCCCGCCATCCTGCTGGGATGTTCTGGTGGTCTGAGGAGTGGGAGTCATGGCACAGCCCTTTCCAGTCTGCCTGCCCCCAGGCTCCCCTGGCCCCGCTCCCCCCTTATTCCCTGCCTGAAAGGCTCTCATCCTCTCCATGATGCCCAGACCTTTCCCCAGCTAGTGTCCTGCCACCTTCACAGTGCCCCCAGGGTGGCCCCAGCCCTCACTGGGGCAATCTGGGCAGGTCATTCTGCACGTGACTCAATAGGAGTATGTGTGGCAGGGGCCCAGCCAGGTGCCTGCTGGCTCGTCGACCTGGACCTGGTGCACGGCCCCTTCCACGTTCCCTCCCCCTCCTCCTCCAGTTGCTGAGTCTCTCACCTGGCTTTCCTCCACCTGCAGGAGCCCCTGGGGGCCATGGGCAGAGCTCAGCCCTTCCAGACAGGAGCATCTAGGAGGTCCTCCGGGCTCCCAAATGACCTTGGGGCCCCTGTGGCCTCGCTGGTGTGGCACAGACCCTCTGGGTTACAGCTCTGGCCCCCGCGCCAGTCCCTGCCAGCCTGCACATCAGAAGAGCGGGGACTGGGCCACATATCTGTGTCCCAGCACCCAGCCTGGCAGATGGGGCGGCAGCCTTGGTGGGTGAAGGAAAAGGAGTGAATGAATGAATGAATGAATGAACAGGCAGTGGATGGATTGGTCGGGGGCCAGCTAGGTGGTACCCCTGACAGTCTCTGTCCCATGTCCCTTGCAGATGTGCTGGTGGACGGACAGCCTTGTGACTGCGAGGCGGCAGCCTGCCGCGTAGGCGACCCCGTCCGCCTGGAGGTGCGACTGACCAACCGGAGCCCACGCAGCGTGGGGCCCTTCGCCCTCACCGTGGTCCCCTTCCAGGACCAGCAGAACGGCGTGCACAACTATGACCTGCACAACGCTGTCTCCTTCGTGGGCTCCAGCACCTTCTACCTCGACGCGGTACGTGGTCTGGGAGCGCCCCACCACCCCCACTCCTCCCCCAGGCGGTGGACCTAGGGGTGGGCAGACACTGGGGCTTCTCTGGGTGGACCGTCGTCTACTCGACTCGTGGAGAGACCTCAGACAAGTGCGTTTCTCTGTATCCGAGGCCTGGGAGGGAAACCAGGATGTTGAGGCCACCCCCTGAAGGTTGCTGAGAAGATAAGGTGAGCGGAGGGGGCCTAGGAAGGCCTTAGATCCCGCTGTGTTGCTATGGCAGTCGCCCCGCCCCATGCGGTCAGCTCCTCCCTGCCCAGCGGTGACTGCAGTGCGTCCCAGAGGGACTGATAAAGTCACAGCGCTCGCCCTGGCCCCCTCCTCCAGCCTCGCATGGCACTGCCCTCACGCTCCACTCACCTGCTGAAATGGTGCCTTCACCCCAGCTGCTCCCCACACTACCTGAACCCTGAGGCGGCCCAGGGAGGGAAGTGCTGTGAGCTGTGTCCAAAGACGGAAGCTGAGGCTCAAAGAGGGGCAGCAACTTGCTGAGGCAGCACAGCAGGGAAGCCCTGGAGGGGGCATGGGAGCAAGGCCTGGGGCCCCCCCCCCGCCCTCCGTTGCCCCCATGTCCAGGCAGGGTCAGGGGTCTCCGGGTGGCTTTTTTGGCCTGGACTGACGCCTCTTCCCCTTCCCCCTCAGGTGCAGCCGTTGGGCCAGTCAGCCTGCCTGGGGGCCCTCCTCTTCCTCTACACGGGCGACTTCTTCCTCCACATCCGCTTCCACGAGGACAGTAGGAGTAAGGAGCTGCCGCCGTCCTGGTTCTGCCTGCCCAGCGTGCACGTGCGTGCCCTGGAGGCACAGGCCTGAGCCCGCTCCTGCCTCCTCCTGGGTCCCTGTTCCTGCGGGAGAAGTGACTAGAGAGCCACATGGCGGGGCAAGGCCTTCCCTGCAGCTCCGTCCCCTTCTCCCAGCCCCCACCCCTCCTCCCCTTTCTCCTCCAGCATCCTTTCTGGGCTGCACAGGAGCCCCTAGACATGGCAGCCTCACCCCTTCCCATACTGTCCGCCGGGGCCCTTCTGCTGGAGCCTGGCGCTTAGGCGGACGCTGACCAAACCCCAGAGAGTGGTGCCCACTCAGCCCAGGTGGGGGTCCCTGCACCTGTTCCCGTGGCCTGGAGCTCACAGCCCAGCCAGTAGGAAGAAAGGCAAGCGTGAGGGAGGGGCACGGCCCGGGTGGGCTTGGGAGCCTCCGTCAGCCTCCTCAGCCGGCCCTTGGAATCCCCTGAGGGCTGGGTTTTCTCCCAGAGGCCCCGAGGCAGCATAGGCAGGAAAGATGGTGCCACTATTGACACCGAGAGGGGCCACCTGCCCTTGCGGACAAACGCCTGGGCCTGTGCTGGCTGTTCCGGGCCCTGGGCTGTTTCCAGGGACCGTGGCCTGTGTGTATGTGTCTCTGTGCCAGATTCTCCAATAAAGACCTGCCTCGCTCCTCTACTGGTCCACCTGCATCCATGCATCTGCTTGTCCAGTGCGGCCAGGGGCCACCCCACCCAGCCCCTCAGCCCCCAGCTCAGCCCTCATGATACACGGCTGGTGGCCAGCAGAGTCAGGCCTGCGTCTGGCTGTCCCTGGGACCCCCAGTCCCCTCTCATGCATGTGCTCTTTGAGCCTGGCCCCCCAAGCTGTCTCAGAACACTGACTCAAGCCCCCACGCCAGGGTCCTCAGCCCGCACGCCAGGGTCCTCAGCCCCCATGCCAGGGTCCTCAGCCCCCCACGCCAGGGTCCTCAGCCCCCACTCCAGGGTCCTCAGCCCCTCACACTAGGGTCCTCAGCCCCCCACCATGGCTCTGGCCATCTTGGCCTCTTGCTTTCTCCCATGAGGTCCACACAGCATCTGCGTCTTCCTCCTGTTCCATACAAATACTCAGGAAATGCTCAGGAGCACGACAGCAGGAGTCAAGGAATCTGATGAGGCCACAGCGGCCCTCGGACCAACCATGAGGGCTGGATCTCCCCTACCTCCCCTTCCCCCTCACTGCCCTCGGGGTCCCCCAGACCCCCCCCCGCCATCCCCACCGTCCCTGGAACAACCGGCTATCTGCAGCCCTCACTTCCAGTCCCGCAGCTTCACAGAGTCCCTCCTCGGCCCAGCATCATCAGTCTCTCCAGCAAACATCACTCCCTGAGCAGAATTCTGGGGCCAGAGAGAGGGCAGGGGTCCCAAGGCACAGAGCAGGGTGGGGTGAAGCCAGGGGCTTCCAAGGCTCCTGGGGTCACCCTGTTTCCACGAGGCCGCCAGGCAACAGGCTCAGTGCCGACTCACGTGGGAATGGAGCAGAATGGACAGTCACGGGGCTGTGGTGGGGTCTGAGGGGCATTGGCCATGGGAACCCTGTGACTCTGGGGACAGGTGACCTTTCACAGGGTCCAGTATACCCCACTTAAAAAACATCCCGGCGGGAGCTCCTAGCTCAGGGCAGGAAGAACTTTCTGGGCCCCACCTCCCGTGGGGCTGCACCATGTCCGCTGGGTCAGCGCCTCCCTGCGCCAGGCGTGGCTGGGACAGTCCGTCCCTGCTGTGCATTCTCAACTGCTCTGGGCTCAGGGGCCAGTGCCCCCATCACAGGGTGGGGAACCGAGTCTCCAGGAGCCCGGAGCACATAGCAGGAGGCGGCTGAGCAGGATGACACTCCTGTGTGTGTGCTCCCCACTGCCCAGGTGGTGTCACCCCCGTAGACACCGGGAGTGGCCACCTTCTCCCACATGTGGCCCTCTTGATGAAGTTTACAGTCCCTTGGGGGCTCCCGGGGCCCAAGCCCAGGCCTCACCAGCCATACTGCCGCTTGTGGTTTTCAGGCTGCCTGCTGCCCAGCAGCACCCACCGGGAGGGCCAGCCTTGTCCCGTGCGGGGCTGCACCACCCAGGGAAGGGGCACCTTATTCAAATTGCACGAAGCTACCAGACAGCCTGCAGTGGCCGGTTCCCTCTGCTCCATCGGCCCCACCCTCCCAGCCTCGCTTCTCACAGAGCTCGGCCCTTCGCCCGCCCTCCCCTGCGTGGGCCGAGCTGCAGCTCCCTCCGCCCAGGGCGGGAGGAACTGTGCAGAGCCCTGGCCACGCCTGGCTTCTCAGCAGAGGCCAGCCCGGGAGGGTCCTCGGGGTGCCCCACAGCAAACCCTGAGACCGAGAGCCCGAGCACAAGAGCTCGAGTGCAAAGTGAGGGGCCAGAGGGAAAGGACCAAGCCAGCACGGCAACATCGGGCCACCGCTGCAGTGGGAATCCTGGGGGGAGCTCAGGGGACAGGGAGAACGGACACCGCGGGACCCCAGCCCCAGGGCCAGGGGGCTGGCCTGCGTACCCTCCACCCCCCAGAGTTCACTCCTGTGTGCCTGCCTGCCGCAGGCACAAGCAGACCAGCGCCCCGCACTTGGGGACGAGGGACACAGCACACGGCACTGACCCCACAGTCTCAGAAGCATGTCAGCTGCCGTGGCTTGCGACTCCTCAGGGAAAGCAACCCCAGGAGGCCTGCCCGTGGGTGGGGACCTGGGGAGGTCTTTTCAGCTCTCCCATGTGGGACATGCCAGGGCAGGAGTGTCTGTAGCAGAGATGGCCAAAGCCCTTTGCTGAGGACGCTGGAAAACCATCCATCCACGGCTCCCCCAGGACAGGGCCAGGCCTGACCCGCCCCCCATCCAGGGCGCTCCACACACACAGGTCAGATGGACAGGCCCCGTGCAGGGGCCCTTGGCCCGGGTCAAGTCCCAGGTCAGCCACTTCCCCAACTTGTCACTTGGGGTGACTTCAAAGTTAAGATTAGGCCAAGGATCTAAGCAAAGGGCTTCTAGCAATGCCCAGCACATAGTAGGTGCTCAATAAACGGCCAGTCAGCCCCTTGGGCCAGGGTCTGAGAATGCACCTTGCGTGTTCCCAGGCAGCCGGGGACTTCGGGCAGGAGGTCCCACTTGTGGTGTGTGTTCTGCACACCTGTTACACGTGAGTCACCGCAGGGGGCAGGGACCATGTGAGGCTGCTCATCACTGGCTCATGTCCAGAGACACCTTCAGAAGGAAGTCAAAGCAGTCCCCTGGCGTCATGGCTGAGCTCTGGGGGGCCCCCTGCCCAGCGCCAGGCAGGCAGTAAAGTGGAGCAACTGAAGGACAGGTCGTACCCCGCTCCCGGCCTGAGGAAGGAGCCCAGGACCCCTCCCCCTAGGTTTAACTGGACTGAACTGGATGCTGTGCTGAAAGCAGATGGGAGGCCCCTGCCCCAGCCAGGAAGTATAGGCGGGCCGGTGGGCAGGCGCACAGTGCCCATCAGTGGTTCCCGGAACACAGAGCCCGCAGTCTCAGTGGAGGCACCTAGGGAAACAAAAGGGTCTGTAGGCTGGGCCTGGGGGCAGGAGGATCAGCGAGGGCTTCCTGGAGGAGGTGGCATGGGGGTGGAGCCTGGATAGGTGAGAGGAGGAGGAACGGCTCTCCAGGAGGGTGGGAGGGCTGGGTGAAGACCTGGAGGGAGAACAAGGGGCTTGTTGGGGACACGGTTGGCCCAACGCCACTCCACTCAGCCGCTGGTGACTGGGCCCGTGCTCTGCTAAGACGGGACCAGCAAGGCGATGACCTTGTGGGGACATGGAGGACGGGGGCCAGCTCTGTTTGGAGTCAGAGAAACCTTCCCAGCCGGGGTGATGCTGAACTGGGCCTTGCTGGAGCTCACCAGGGGGAGAAGATGGAGGAAGGGTGTTCAGATAGAGGAACAGCATGTGCAAAGGCCTGGAGGCACGGGACAGACCTGAGGGGAGTGCACGTGAATAATTAATATGACAGGAAGTGCGTGGTCCCAGGACCTGAAGAGGGCAAAGCCGTCCTGTGAGATAAAGTGGGGGGACCCTGGGGCAGGTGAATGCTCCCCGAAAGGATCCCAGGAGACGAAGATGGGGACGCACATGGCAGAAGAATGAAGAAGAGGGGACCCAGGCCAGGTCTGTTTGGCTGGGTCATGGTGACTCTGCCCACTTCTCTGCCTCATGTCCTCGCGCCCCCACCCTGCCGTGTACACAACGTGCTCCAGCCCCACCAGCCTTTTCTCTCTTCTGTCGCTGAGCCTGTTTCCTCCTTGGGGCCTGGACCGCCCTCTGCCGGGATGGATGCTCTGCGCACAGACCCCACACGGCCACTTGCACGCCAGTCTCAGCTCCACGTCACCTCCCTTGAAGAGCCTTTCCTGACCGCCCTGGCTGGGTTGGTCCCAGCCCTCATGGGGGAGACGGCCCAACCTGGAATGATCTGTTTGCTCAGGCATCGTGTGCTCTGTCCTCTGCTGCAGCGCGAGCACCTGGGAAGGTGGCTGGCACCTAGAGGGCGGGGGTGAGAACTGGCTGAGAGCCGTCCTCAGCCTGGGAGGCCCCCTGGGAGCACTGCCCTGCGGACTGGGCGGAGCACGAGATGTGGAGCTCAAACAGTGCTCCAGCTCTGCTTTGCTGTGTGACCACGGGCCGGCCACTTCACTCCTCTGAGCCTCGATTTCTCATCTGTAAAATGGAGGCAATAACGCCCACCTCAGAGGGCGTTGTTGAGGATCATATCTAAAGGGCCTGGAACAGAGTGGGCATGTCTGGGTGCCCAGCAAACATTTGTTGAATGAAAGAACAAACGGAGCCATCCACTGGCTTTGAGGCAGGCTTGTCCCCGCCACCTAAGAAGTGTGTAACCTCAGCAATGTCACTTCAGCTCCCTGGGCCTCAGCGTCCTGCTCTGTAAAATGGGATCTACCCCATTTCAGCCTCCAAATCCACCCCCGTAGGAGCAGAAGAGAAGGTGCGTTTGTGAGGGTCTCCTGACCCCCAAGGTGCTCTCTGGCATCAGATGGGGCCACTCCAAGGCAGGCAGGACCCCAAATTCCACCATGTGCAAAACCAGAATAGGATGCTCTTTGCTCTGTATTTGCCTATCCGCCCCTCATCCCCCAACACACACACACTCAGTGAAGAGGCCACAGGGTGGAGGAGAGGAGGTCTGGGCACAACTGTGCCTTAGGGAATGAGGAGCCTCGAGAGAAGGAGGCCCAGGGCGGTGTCTGTACAATCCCGAGCAAAGCCAACTGCAGGCGCCCTGTTTCACCAACAGGTGTGACCCTGAGGACCCCTACCCACCCAAATAGAAAGAGGGGATTGGAAACCAGGAGAGGGGAAAATAGGACAAAGAACTTGGTCACCCCACAGAACGCAAGACGCCTCTTCATCACAGCCTAGTTTGTCGAGAAAAGATTAGTAACAACGTAAACGACGACTAACAGGGGGCCGGATGAATTAGCTGTGGCTTATGGAAACGAGGCTAAACAGAACCAACCACGTCTACGTACATCAGCCTGGCCCCGTCCCAGAGATGTGCCGTGCAGTGAAGCAGCATGTTGCTGCATGATGGGTGCAGCCCCACCCCACTCGGGGAAACTGCCCCCAACAAAAACATTATACATTTTCTGTGCATCAAAAGTGTCAATA